GGTGGGCATGGATTGGCGTGAATGATCTGCAGGGCAGAGGGTGGATGTCCCTGAGGCAGGACTGGATTTTTCAGGTTTCTTGAGCATTCTAAAAATAAATAAATAACCACAGCCGAGAAGAAAACCTGACCGTATAAAAGTGTTAAAAGCAACATCCTCTCTGCATGGCCTGCAGCTGCACTTAATGGATCCCAATACGCGTGGCACAGAGCTTGGACGGGCACTCCAGGAACCTCTGCTGGGGAGACAAACAAAAACTAAACATCATGTTGACCTCAGACATTTCTCCCAGGATTCTTCCCCCAGCCTCACCCCTCCTTTCATTTCAGAGCAAACTTCCTACCAGGTCACATTCACTTTAGCCTGAAATGAGTTTGACTTTCTGTTCAGAAGGGGAGGGCTGCTCTGGTGATCAGCTCTGTCTTTGAAACACTGTGCCTCTGATTCCCACTGTCACTTACATTTTACACACGTGTCCTTCAATGGAGTCACTCCTGATTACGCCGGTGTAAATTATCAGAGGGGGAGCCGTGTTAGTCTGAATCTGTAAAAAGCAACAGAGGGTCCTGTGGCACCTTTAAGACTAACAGAAGTATTGGAGCATAAGCTTTCGTAAATGAGACCCGAATCAGGCCCACGGATGTGTGGGGAGCTGTTTTCCTGCCCCTTGTATTAAATCTCAGAGTGATTTTTTTTTCAACAATAGCTGAAGTTTTTTTCCTTCTACCTTCCAAATGAACATTTTAAAAAGGTGCTGTCAAGGAATTTTAGGCTCAACATTTCAATCTTCTTGCAGTTACAAAAGCTGATATGAATAGAAAATGCTTCTGATTGTTTATTTTTTGATTCTGATTTCTGAGTTTTATTTTTAAAATTTCAGTAAGAACCGGGTGCGTATTTGTTGTTGTTTCGGTTTACACATTTTCCTGCCGTGTCATTGTTATGTTGATGTTAATGTTTATACCTTTTTGTTAGTGGTGGTAGGTGTAGTGAGTAATAACAATAATGAATTAATAATTAGTGTCGAGCACTGAGGGTAGTACAGAGCATAATGCTTTACAACTGGAAGGTGAAAGTGACAAGAAAAAAAATGAAAGTGACTAGACTAGGTTCAATATCCAAATTGGGGGAAATGTAAAAGGCAAATGGTGGAAAGAAAATTTTATTTGGACTATTATTTCAGTTGTAATATTTGAAGGTACCGTAGGGCTAAAATTTGCTTTTTTTTATTGTATGAGGTTTATGTTCAAAGTGTCTTTTTAATAGCCCTGTTCTTTCTTTCTTTCCCCATACACCCCCATATCTATCTATCCCCATACACCCCATATCTATCTATCTATCTATCTATCCCCATACACACCCCATCTATCTATCTATCTATCTATCTATCTATCCCCATACACCCCATATCTATCTATCTATCTATCTATCTATCTATCTATCTATCTATCTATCTATCTATCCCCATACACCCCCATATCTATCTATCCATCCCCATACACACCCCACTATCTATCTATCTACATACACACCTACTATCTATCTATCTATCTATCTATCTATCCCCATACACCCCCATATCTATCTATCTATCTATCTATCTATCTATCTATCTATCTATCTATCTATCTATCTATCTATCCCCATACACACCCCACTATCTATATCTATCTATCTATCTATCTATCTATCTATCTATCTATCCCCATACACCCCCATATCTATCTATCTATCTATCTATCTATCTATCTATCTATCCCCATACACACCCAATATCTATCTATGGCTTTCATCACAGGAGTAGTGGATGCCCTGAACCCTGACTCACCTGGTTAACCCTTTTTTTCCTCAAACCAGCAGTATCAATTAAATCAATAGGACTATCTCCTTAATTCCACCCACACAAATCTTCCCACACCGGTAGTCCTAGCTCATACCCTTATTCACACAGGTAGTCCTAGCTCAAGGACTACAGGATCATGCCCCAAAACCACAGATTTATGGGGGGAAGGGGGGAACTGGAATGAAAATAAAAGAACTGAAAATATTTCAAAACAAACAATTCTCCCCCCTGCCCATCCTTTTTAAAGCAAGTTCTGTATCTATCCTGGCATTTTTTTACCCCCTCCTTGGAAAAATCCTATTTAAAGATCTTGCAAAGCAACAAAACTTTTATTGGCTGCAAATTACTCTGCAACTCTAGGGCATGGTCCTACAAACACTACAAATGTGAGTAGCTTTATTCATGCCAATAAGGCCACTGACGTCAGTGAAGTGTGTTGATTTATTTGCATGCGTAAAATGGGCCTACTATGCTGACCGATATTGTCTCATTGTACTCCCCCGTTGGTCTGTATCCACCTGTTGTCTCTTGTCTAATACTTCGCTTGTAAGTTTGTCGGAGCTGGGACGATCTTTTTGCTTTGTGTTTGTACAGCGCCTAGCGCCACGCGGTCCTGATCTGTGACTGGGACTCCTTGGCAGTATGACAAAACAAATATATAATACATGTTTTCAGTGTCTTAAATTTGGATCCCATGCCCCTAAAATCCCTGGAAAATCCAATACCCTCTCTCACCTCTTTATCATGACCACAGTCTTTATTATGGGGGTGGGGGTTATTACTATTTAATGAGATTTCTTTTTGTTGTTCTCTTGATGCAGGGCTTAGATGGGCTGTTTCATTTGCAAAGGATGATGCTGAATGCAGGTTCAGTTGAATAAACTGGGACTTTATTAAACTCTGAACACTGCTCCATCCACATGGCTGACTTGTCTCCTTGCCCTCCCCCCCCCCTTTCCTCTTTTCCCTGGACACCCCTCAATGATTGTTCCTCCAGGGAACAGTTCCACTGGCCATGATACAGGGCTAGTATATGGCCGTACAACATCCTGGCACCTCTTTGAAGATACTATCTTCTTCCTCAGAATCTCATCTTTCACTTTAAAAAAAAAAGTTTCTAGCTGTCACAGTTGCAAAGGAAACCTCAGATGTGACCCACGTGTAACTGCTGCAGAGACATCGAAGCAAGCCTGCAGAGAGCCAGGGCCAGTGGCTTGGAGAGAGGCTAACACCCCCATTCATCTCAAGGAGGAGTTAACTGGGGTGATCATTTTAATGTTAGCAGTGTTAAATATTTCCTGGAAAAGGAGAGGGAGGGTCACAGAACAGCCCAATCTGCTGGGTGGGATTTTGAGGTCTGAAGCAGTGACATTTGGGGATACCCCCCCCACTCAGGAAGGAACCAAACTCAATGAGCCTAGAGTGCTGCACCATCATATTTCAAACCTCTACTGTGAGCAGTGTCTCATTTTGGTGACTCATGGGTGCAGCTTACTTTTGGGGAGGAGCTGGGAAGAGTACAGACACTTTTCCCCTCCCCCAGTTCAGCCCCGCAGACTCGGGGTGGTGATTATCCTAGGGGAACAATCAGGTCCTGATCCCGCAATCAGATCCAACTTTGGTAGTTGCTTAACTTTGCGCACCGGGGCAGCGCCACTGACATCAACCTGCCTGCGTAAAGTTAAGCCTGTGTGTAATGTTTGCAGGGTTGGAGCCATGGGCCGGGATTTCCAAAATGAGGTGCCCACTTCCAATGAGATTTGGGGGCCTACCTCTGTTCGACTGGCTACACTACAGACATCTGCCAGTATAGCTATGTTAGGCAGGGGGAAGATATCCCACTGGCCGAGCTTGCAAAGGGTTTCCCCTCAACAGGATGGCATTTCTCTGTCCGGCTGTAACTTTTGAACGCTGCAGCCAATCATTTGTAAAATTTCAGAGGATGTTCTAAGCATTAATGGGCAGGACCTTTTTTTTTTTTTGGAGGGGGGGAGGGTCAGAAAACCAAAAGAGGGGAAATGGGGGCGGGGCCAAATTGATGCTTATAAATGTCTGGGACGTGCCCAATCTCACTCTGAAGCAAGTGAAATAACCATGGCTAAACAGCATACCCCTGATTACAGAATCAAACCCAAACCTGGTGCAGCTGCAGTGGACTGACCCTTTACTAGGTGACGGCCTGACCCTGCAAACATGAGCGAAATTCCGCTGGCTTCAAGGGGACCAGAGGCGGCTCAAGACAATCTGCTGCCCTCGGCAAAACTCCACCTCCCCACAGGCCTAAGGCAGCAGATTGGCCCTGGACGTTCTCTCGTAATGATGGATTTCAGTGATTGGCCTTGTGGCCTGGCCCACCAGGGCCAAGCTGCCCTGCCAGGATGCAGCTGCCCAGAAATCTGCCACCCTAGGCAGCTGCCTAGTTGGACCACAGGGGAAGGTGGGTGAGATCTCGCTGATGTCCTGAGACCGTCCCAGCTACAACAACGCCGCCTAGGGAAGTGGGGAAATCTCCTTCCTTAGAGGTTTTTAAAGCCAGGCTTGACAAAGTCCTGGCTGGGATGATTTAGTTGGGGATTAGGTCCTGCTTTGAGCAAAGGGGGTATAGCTCAGTGGTAGAGCATTTGACTGAGGTCCCCGGTTCAAATCCTGGTGCCCCCTCATTGGTGGAGGGATAGCTCAGTGGTTTGAGCATTGGCCTGCTAAACCCAGGGTTATGAATTCAATCCTTGAGGGGGCCACTTAGGGATCTGGGGCAAAAGCAGTCCTTGGTCTTGCTACTAGTTAAGGCAGGGGGCTGGACTGGATGACCTTTCAAGGTCCCTTCCAGTTCTAGGAGACAGGCTATCTCCATTATTAAAATTAAAGGGGGTTGGACCAGATGACCTCCTAAGGTCCCTTCCAACCCTGATGCTCTATGAGTCTGTGGTGCATCCGTGCTGGCAGGATCGGGTCCCTAAGTTTTCTTTTCCCCTCTGGCTGGACAGTTCCCTCCCCCCCCCCCAAATCCCTGTTCACAATGGGCGGGGCCTGCAGCTTTAAAGAAGGACGGGAACCAATCTCTTGCGCCACCCCGCCAGGGGGCGGGGCCAGCAGGGAGGAGGCGGAGCCTCGCCGCCCCAAGTGCTGCTGCTTTTAATAAGAGGGAGGCCAGGGCGGCTCTTGAAGGCAGAGGATGGAGCAGGTGGAGTGACAGAGCGGGGCAGACGAGGCAGCTCCCAGGAGTGGGGGGAAATCCCCCCCCCTTCGCGTAACCCTTGGAAAGAGGGGAGGTGTCAGGGGGAAACTCCCCCCGCCCCCTGGAACCGAGCGGCTCTGTCTGGGATCTTTAGTTGGGAGGATTTTGTACACACCGAGCTCGGGACAGGGGGTTTTGCTGCCTTTGCTCCTGGCGTGTCCGGACCGGCGATGAAGCCCCGGCCCCGCGTGTGAACCGGACTCCGCCGCCGCTGAAGCGGGGCTGGGAGCTGTGGGGCGAGCGCTGCAGAGATTTTGGTGCGCGGCGGCGGCGGCGGGGGGGTCTCTCGCTTTTTTTTTGTTTTTCCTTTTTCTTTGCACAACCTGATGAGTTGCTGAGGGAGGGGAGGGGGCTGATCTCCCCCCCCCCCACCTCCTCCCCTGCAAACTCCCCCACCCCGCCTCGCTTGGCAAGTCGATGGGCGCCCTGGACCCAATCTCCGGAGCCAGCAGCCCCGCGCTCACCATGCTGAATGGGGCCGAGAGCCAAAGTTTTGCCAAGGAGCCGCTGGATCTGCAGGGGGCCAAGGAGCCGGCCGAGCTGAAGATGGGCGTCCCGGAGCGGTTCTACTTCCCCGACGCCCCGGCTCCGGAGAGCTGCCCGCTGAGCCTGCCCTACAGCGCCCCGATGGTCCCGGGGGGCTTCGGGGGCAGCGCTCCGGCCACCGGCCGCTTCCTCGGCCCGGCCCTGAGCAGCTGCTCCGCCTACAGACCCCAGCCGCCGCCCGCCGCCGCCCAGCCGGGCGGCCACGGCTTCGCGCTGCCTCCCGGCGAGCTCTACCCCGGCGGCGGGGAGCTCTACCCGAGCCCGGCGGCGGGGGACAGCTGCTACCCAGGCGCCGTGCAGCACGTGTTCCCCCGGGGCCCGCTCTACCCGGTGCCCGGCTACCAGCTCTCCGGCAAGGTCCAAGTGATGCTCAACAACTACCCGCTCTGGGCCAAGTTCCACAAGCACCAGACCGAGATGATCATCACCAAGCAGGGCAGGTGAGGCCGGGACAGGGGGGCCTGGGCCCCTCCGGAGGGGGCGGGGCGGAGTTGGGGGGCTGGGGGCGGGCGCCCCCCTACAAGGGCCGGAGGGAGTCTGGTGAAGGTGGTGGGGAGATTGGGACTCCCCCAAATCTAGTGGGGGGAGGGTGGAGACCACTCATCGCCTCCCCCTAACGCGATCCCATTTCTGGCTTCGCCAGCCAAGTCCTAAAACTTCCCTGGAGAGGCCCAGCGCTCCTCGCTCGCCCCGCGGCTCCCCGCACCTACCTGCCCGAGTGGGACACGCGGGGCGCTACGGGGGTGTAGGGCGCGGGTCCCGGGGGGGCGGGGATCTGGCTCGCTGGGGGTCTGCAAGTCCTGGGAGTTGTTTTCGGCCCTCTTGGCTCTTTGACACCTGCCGGGTCGGTAAATCCTCCGGGGTGAGTGACGTGCCAAAGCGGCCCGGCGCCCAGGGTGTAACCTGCCCCGCGCGGGCCCCCGGGTCCGGATCTCGGGCCCCCGGGTCCGGATCTCAGCCCCTCCGGTGCAAAGCCGGGCTGTGTTTGCGCTGCGCCCGGCAGGGTGGCCTCCTGGGCTCTGACTAAGTCTCATAGCGACTAGGGGAAAACTAGTAATAAGTGAAGTGCCGGGGGGGTTCCTCTGCATTTTCACTGGTGTAACGGAGAGCAAAGTCTGGCCCCGAAGAGGGAGCGTGTATGTCATGACTTTGATCTTCCACACCCGCTGGCTTTCTCTCTCTCATCTCTTGTCTTTCTGAGTGTGAGGGCTCCAAGCCAACTGCTGTCTGCCTGGCCATCTCTGAGCAGGTCTCCCGGCTCACCTCCTGTGTTTCTGCTTGGGTGCCCAGCCGCTGGTGCCCGCTGGACACTCTCAGGGGCTTTGGTATGTCCCAGAGCCAAGTCCGCACAAGAATGACTGGGCAGGTTCTGAGCCACTAGGCAGCTGGTCTTTCCCCTCTGGTCCCTGTGGCAGGCTCGCTCAGATGTGCCAGCGAGCTCAACAAACCGAGAGAAACCATTTGAATCGATGCCCGGGTTCCTGACCAGGCAGGGTCCCCAGGCAGTACGTGAGCAGGGTCACGGGAAGCCAGGGTTTTAGCCAACACTAAAACTGTGTCCTCCTTTCCCAGGCTTGTCAGCTCGAAATGCAGTGGTTCTTTAATAATCATGATGATGACAACCTAGGGTCAAATGCTCTGGTGGCGTAACTCCCCTGACTTCAATGGCATCGGGCCAGCAGGGAATTTGAACGCTGAAATGCCATGAAGTTGTATGATGAATGCCCATCTTTGGCCCAGTCAGCTCCAAGCCCTTGACAAACATCAACCCCCACCATGTCACAGGCTCCCCCATGCTGCAGATGGGGACGCTTTGCCCTGTGGTAGCCCCATCTGCCTGCCTCTGAAGCCCAGTGGCAAGAGGGCCTCTGATTTCAGATAATACGTAGCCCTGCCATGAGTGCAGGGGACGGGAGGAGATGGCCTCTGGAGGTCCCTTCCAGTCCTACCATTCTGATTCAGTGGGTGTAGGGTCTGTTAGGTGTCAGGCATGTTTCACCTAGGGCTGCCTGGGACTACAGCGCTGTCACAGATCACAGTCTGGCCTATGTCACTTCTGCACGGGAGGAGTGCTACAAAAGGGCCTACTCCTGGGAGACGTTGAGCACTCTCAGCTTGGGGTGGTTGTATTTGTTCTTTAAGCGGTAGGCTGCTTCCTACCAGGCACAGTCCTATTTCAATGTCAGTTGAACAGGCGGACGCACACCCGCTGGAGTAAATCAGCAGAGCTCCATCGACTTCCCTATTGCCGTGCCGATTTGCGCCAGCGGGGGATCCGGCCCCTTCTTTTTAGCCTAACCTGCCTCCCTTGTGGGTGCTTTCTCGCCTCCTCTGCCAGGGTTAATGCATTTTATAAGATGCTTTTTAATAACTTATTAAAAGCTGGAGCTGCCGCTGCCAATCCGTGCAAACCGGAGCTTCAGGAATGGCTAAAACGCTGCCCTGATCTGGTGGACTTGGCTGCTGCTGTGACGGGGTATCTCCTTTTCACCCAGGAGGTCTCCGCACCGATCAGCTTTTTCTTTCTTTCTTTGGCCCAGACAGACGGTGTCACTTTGATGCCGAAACCAACCTGCTTAATGTGTTGAAAGTCTAAACGTGTTAAGGCCGGTTCATTTCCCACGCAGGCTTCAGGCCTGGGATCCTGTGGAGCATGGCCTCTGCGAAGCACTCAGGGCGATTCAGTTACATACCATCACTATCAAGGGGACGGGGAAGGGAAAAAAAGAAAGATCCGAAAGCACCTGGAGCTAGAAAAAAGCCCTGGCTAGTATTCTGTCAATTCCCTTCTCTGCCTGCAAACCCCAGTGACTCGGTTCCTCTGGAAATTTAAATTCAGATTGGGGATGGAACATATTCGCTAGGTTTTCAGCATCTGAGATTTTTTTTTTCCACTGCTGGGGTCATATAGAAACCTACTAAAATATCACCAGAAGAAATAGCTTCCTCTTTCCCCTGAGCCCAGAACTAACCCCCTTCCAAATGAGTTTTAACTGCACATAGGATGCACTCGCATAGTTAATTCCACCCCTCTGAGCCTTTCACTAAATCGAATCCGATGCGTTAAATTAATCTGTTGCTGTGGGGTGTTAAACAAACGCCGCCCAGAGGTGGCTGCATTCCAGAGGGGCTTAAAATGATTCACGTGTAGAGACGGCCCAGTCCTGCTGCCCTGGCACTAGATTGGAGTCTTGCCATTGACTTCAGAGGGAGCAGGATCGGGGGCCCCTCGTCTGCCAAGCTGGTTGGTTTTGATAGTGCTTTGAGATCCTTCTTCTGTAACGGTGCTGTGTGAATGCGTAGGCCGGGATTTTCGAAAGTGGCTAAAGATTTCTGTGGCCTCACTTGCGACCCCTGAAATGGGGCTTTGTTCTCTCGGAGCCAGGAGTGGGTCCGTGCTGATTGAACGTCAGGCCCCTTTCATCTGGATACTGCCAAATTGACACCCAGCCCAAAAATCTTCCGTAATCACAAGCCTGATCCTGCCACCATTGAAATCAACGACACAACCGACGTCGGTTTCAGGCCAGCAGGATCAGGCCCTAAAATATCCCCCTCCCCCAGACTTAGGATTTTATTGCTTTAGAGATTCGGTCTCTATTGGTTTCAGGAGTTACTCATTGGGTTTCTCTAAGTCTTCCCCCACCCCACCCACCCCTGGGCTGATTGCAAGCTGAATAGCAAATAATCAGGGTCTGATGGGGTTTTAGAGTGAAGGGAAGCCCATTACCTCCCCAGCGCTGCGAATTTTGGGGAGGAAGAGAGGGATCTGCTTGGTGCTCCATGGCGGTCGCTCAGCTAGGCTTGAATTTGTGGGGTTCCCTGTGGATCCAGCCTGAGTGTCCCCCGGGCTGCTCTTTGAAATCCACTGTCGCCTAAATACAACCCAGGCTGGGCAAGGAGTGTGGCTGTCTTTTCAGGCTGACTCCTGCCAAGGCAAGTCACGCCCTTGCGAGAAAGCGCTACAGTATTCTGCACTTATGGTCTGACATTGACTAAGACCCCTGAGTTTGGGGTAACTCCAGCAGAGTGTGTGTGTGTAATTAAACAGGGCAGAGCCTATCTGAGCGCGCCCTGAATTGGGGGTGCTTAACAGTTAGCTCCTTCCCTTTCGGAGGATACTTAAATCATCTCCAAATGGCCCACAGGAACTGTGTGTGTGTTGGAAGGTGGAAGTGCTTCATTGGGACCCATCTCTCTCCTGCTCACACAAACTACAGTTCGAGGGGCTGATCTGACATCCACTGGGAGCCATGGTTTCACTGGACATGGATCAGGCCCAGATATTTAGATGCCTGTTGAAATCGGTGAGCGTTAGGTACCTAAATACCTTTGACAGAACCAGGCCTCTGTCCCAAACCCAGCTCCTTGTTCCAGCATCTCCACCATGGGTTGGCCCATTGCTGCAGTAATTTTCTTTTCAATGGGCATCTAGGACAAATCTGGTGCCGGACCCATCCTTCCAGACGTGGGATGGTCCCTGTTAATTCTACAATACGCTCTGCCCCCTGGGAACACAACCACAATCTGACAGTCAAAGCTGGAGACCCTTTCCTTAGTTTTATTTGCGAGGGGCTTGTCTAGACTGGGAAAACTTGTGTTGACATAACTCCATGGAGGCAGGGGCACCAGTGCAACCCCCCTAATGTGCTGGTGCAAAACTGGGCTCGCACTAGTACAGTTTACCAGGGTGGGTTGCACTGGTGTAAGCACCAATTTGCACGGATGCACGGGCCAGGTGCAAAGTAAATCCAAAGACAGACTGGCCCTGAGGCTAAGCCCTCCTTGGAGTCGTTGGACCTGATTCACTCCCCCCGATGTAAAATGAGGCGCACGCTCCACTGAAGTCAGCCAGGCTTGCCTGGTGCAATGTTACTCTGCAAAGAGCTTTTCTTTCCCTTGTTGGTATTAGCGGGCCGGGGCGGGGGGGGAGGTGAGCAGCAGCGTCTCCCTGACTCTTGTGTCTCTTGCACGGCCGTGGTTATTGTGGCTCCGCGCCCTTTCATCATCTCAGACTCAGCGGCAGGCTTTTCATTGGGAGACAAGTCGACTCAGGAAATCAGCAGCCCACCCGCCGCCCCTCCACGACGGGTGTTTTTTAACCAGAGGGAGCGAGCGGGGCTGTGTTCTGTGGTGTGCTCAGGAGATGGAAAAGGGGCCGGGGGTTGGGTTAGGGGGGGGAGGGAGGAAGGCTGGGGTTCAGCAGACCCATTAACCATCAAACTTCGCTGTTGTGAAACTGGTCCGTTATGAGAGAAGTCCTCATAGCACTGCGGTGGAGACGGTAGAATCATCCCCATTTTACAGACTGGAAAACTGAGGCACAGAACGCTGGTGCTGTCCCAACCAGACAGGGAGTCAGTCCAAGGTTCTAACCCTACGTCTGCTAGCTCCTTCTAAAGCTCATTCCTCCAGCAGGCAAGGTGGCGGGTGGATGCTT